AACCTCTCTCAGTCCTATTCTGCACTCCCTGATCGCAGGTTTTTTAATAAGAAAACAATTATGAGGGCTTCTCCAGGTAGATTCACAAATAAATTTACCGGATACCCTGTTAAATTTCAATTTCAGCTAAATATATAAGAAAAATTAATTTCAGCTAAACAACAAATAATTTTTAGAATAAGTATTCCTGTAAAATATTTGGTATATACTTATCCTTTAAAAATCCTCATTATTTATCTGAAATTCACATTCAGTTGGGCATCATGTATTTTATCCTACAAGGATATAAAAGACACCACGTAACCTGCGTGTTTGCTATTTCTAACTGAGCTAACACATAGCGAATGAAATAGACAAGAACTATATTCAGAGGCTAATGAAAAAAGCAGAGTTGGCACAGATGAACCCGTGGGCAAACAGCTTTTAAACTGTTATTAATATGGCCAATATTAAAGGTTCTTTACAGTTATCAGGTGTTTTATTTTTATCTCCTATATCCTTGCAATGGTGCTGGTATATAGGCAGGAATTTATATTATGTCCCTTTTACAGATGTAGAAACTGAGACTCAGAGGTTATCAGTCATTTGCCAGAGTGACACAGATAATAACCAAAAGAACCTGGTTTCTCTTCTCAGAATTGTTTATTAGCTCCTTTATTCAATGTGTATTTGTTGGGTATCCTTTACACACAAGGCACTATCCTAGACACCAAAGCCATCTCCCTGAACAGGACTGATCAGAATGCTTTCCTTTGGGATTTTAACATTCCTTGGAAAAAGAGACATTCAATCATCAAAATGTAAGTGCTGAGAAGAAAGAAAACAGAGTGTAGAAAAGTTAATCACATAGGGATTTTAGTTGGATTAGAGGGTCACAGAAGTTTTCAAGAACAAGACATGTTAGCTAAGACCTGAAGTTATGAGGGACAAACCAAGAGAAAAGGAAGAATGAGAGCAACAAGCAGGGGAAACAGAGGGGATTGAATCAGGGCCGTGCAAAGAGCCGGTGTTACTGACAGGAATCGAGGCCGGCTCTCCTGACACTCAGGACAGTGCTAATTTTTTGACACCAGACCACCAAAAGCAGCTGATTTGGGATTTGTCTGTTTGCCCTCGCCAGCTGCTATTCCTAAGAAGTCAGGAAATTTCCATCTTGAGTTGCCATATCTACAGCCTTCACTTGCCTATAGAGTGCCCTTGTGATGAATTAGAAAAATATGCACCCTTTCCCAGGCAAACACAGCAATGTGTCCGGATCCATGACCTAACTGATAGAGGACACTTGAATGTCATTCTCTCACTACCCCCTTGGACAATTACAGTGCTCGGTCATCCGCAGTGACCCTGATGACATAAATCTACCTCACCGAAGGCCTTCTAATGTCTAGATTTCATTAGAGACTCTGGCCCTGTCTCTCCTGATCTAGAGTATAGATTCACAACCCTTTGTACAAGAGAGACAAGGCCAGTGTCTTCTTGAGATGAGATGGGGAGGCCTGGGAAGATCATACCACACATGGTGCAAGCAGAGCTTCCTGATTACTTTCCAGAAGTGGTTCAATGCCTTGTGAAGAGTATTAACTAGGAAGTAAGAGGCATTGCCCTAGCCTTGGCTCTGAGATGCTAAATGAACCTCCTTTTGTCCATACTTCAGCTAATTTTCCCATTTTTATAATGGTCTTTGACGCATGCAAAGTATAAGTATTGGTTAATCAATAAGTTTAGGTATCCCCAAGTCCACATCCCAATTAACTGAATTTATAGCATTCTTCAGGATAACCAGTATCATCTAGACTTGAACCAAACTTTATTCTCTTGCACATATTGAAAAGGAAGATTATTTTACACCTGAGATACATAGCAGCATGACAAATTCAATATTCTGTTTCACCAAGTGCAAATATATTTATTCCAGTTAACTGTTTCTTCTTTAAGAAAATAAAAGATGGTAAGGTAGACTTTGTTCAAGGGGAACCGTGGTGATGGGTGTATGTATAGAGAACACTGCAATGGAGACCGGCAGTGAGAGAGAGTGATTTGTCTAAATCAACTCCAAAACTGCCTTTTTTCATCTTTTTTTAGGGGGAGTATTTGCCATGTGCTTCTGGTAATACGTATTAAACTCTAAAATAGGTAGTTTTGCCTTCGAGAAGCCTACAGCCTATTGGTAAAGACATTTAAACAGAGATCTGTCAGGTACATCAGAGGATCACCTATCTCCGTCTGGAAGAACTGGAACAAACTTTCAGAGGAGGTGAAGTCAAAGGTGAGACCAAGGCCAAGCACCAGAGTAGGCTCCATGAGGATTCATAAGTAATAAAACATTTTTCTCCTGAGACCCACAGGTTAGGAATTGGCCTAAGTGTCCATCAAAAGATGAATAGAAAAAGAAACTGTGATATGTATACACTGGAATACTATTTACTATACAGCCTTAAGAAAAGAAGGAAATCCTATCATTTGCAACACAGTTGAATCTGGAGGACATTACGTTATATGAAATAAATCAGGCACTGAAAGACAAAGAAAGACAAATAAATATCACATGATCTCATTTACATGTGAACTCTAATCAAGATGAACTCAGAGGCAGAAAGTAGAATGATGGTTACCAGAGACTGGGAGTTGGGTGGTGGGAGAGATCGGGGAGATGTTGGTCAAAACATATAAAATTTGAGTTAAACAGGAGGAATAAGTTTGAGACATCTATTGTACATCATGTTGGCTACGGTTAATAACATTGTATTGTATACTTAAAAATTGCTAAGAGCAGATTTTAAGTGTTCTCATCACACACACAAAAAAGATAAGTATGAGTAATCTGTGCATTAAATAGCTTCGTATAGGCTTTCCACAATGTATGCATATTTCAAAACATTATATTGTGCACCACAAATATGTACAATATTTTCCCAATAAACAAATAAATAGACATAAAAGCTGAAAGAGAAGAGAGCTATTAAAACAGTTATCCTATGAGAACGCATGGACACATTTGGGGGAGCAACGCACACTGGGGCCTGTCAGGGGGCGGGTAAAGGAGAGCATTAGGAAGAATAACTAATGGATGCTGGGCTTAATACCTAGGTGACTGCCGGGCACGGTGGCTCACACCTGTAATCCCAACACATTGGGAGGCAGAGGCGGGCTGATCACGAGGTAAGGAGATCGAGACCATCCTGGCCAATATAGTGAAACCTAGTCTGTAATAAAAATACGAAAATTAGCCAGGTGTGGTGGTACATGCCTATAATCCCAGCTACTCGGGAGGCTGAGGCAGGAGAATCGCTTGAACCAGAGAGTCGGAGGTTGCAGTGAGCCGAGATCACACCACTGCACTCCTGCACTCCAGCCTGGTGACAGAGTGAGACTCCATCTCAAAAAATAAAAAAATAAAAAGCCAAGTCACTAGTTGGTCTGTGCAGCAAATCATCATGGCACACATTTACCTATATAACAAACCTGCACATCCTTCTGGCTTCGTGCGTAGCCCGGAACTTCAAAGAAAAGTTAATTTAAAAAAGAGAGGAAAATAAAAGTAAAATAAATAAAATAAAACAGTTTTTGTTGTTTTTGAGACAGATTCTCACTCTGTCGCCCAGGCTGGAATGCAGTGCTCCGATCTCAGCTTACTAAACCTCCACCTCCTGTGTTCAAGCTATTCTCCTGCCTCAGCATCCTGAGTACTGGGATTACAGGAACCCACCACTATGCCCAGCTAATTTTTTGTATATTTAGTACAGGGCAGGGTTTCACCATGTTGGCTAGGCTGGTCTTGAACTCCTGATCTTGTGATTCAGCCTCCTTGGCCTCCCAAAGTGCTGGGATTACAGGCGTGGGCCACTGTGCCAGGCCAACACTTAGTTCTTATCCAATGGGATCCAGCATCCTATAGAACAGATAATGAAGCAACAGACTCTATCTGGAGGAGGGTAGAGAGGTTATCATGAATGTTTCACAGAGAAGGGGCATTTTTTTTTAATTGTACATTAAGTTCTGGGGTACATGTGCAGATCGTGCAGGGTTGTTGCATAGGTACGCACATGCCATGACGGTTTGCTGCCTCCATCCCCCTGTCACCGACATCAGGCATTTCTCCCAGTGTTATCCCTCCCCAACTTCCCAACACCCCTCTGTCCTCCCCTAGCCCCCAAGCCCCCAACATACCCCAGTGTGTGATGTTCCCCTCCCTATGTCCGTGTGTTCTCATCGTTCAACACCCACCTATGAGTGAGAACATGTGGCGTTTTGTTTTCTGTTCTTGTGTCGGTTTGCTGAAAATGATGGTTTCCAGATTCATCCATGTCCCTACAAAGGACATGAACTTATACTTTTCATGGGTGCATAGTATTCCATGGTGTATATGTGCCACATTTTCTTTATTCAGTTTATCATTGATGGGCATTTGGGATTACTGGGTTTATACCCAAAGGATTATAAATCATTCTATTATAAAGATACATGCATATGTATGTTCATTGCAGCACTGTTTACAACAGCAAAGGGGCATTTGAACTGAGAATACATACGATTAATCCAAAGGGAGACAAGAGGGAGGGTATCTGAGGAAGAAGGAGGAGCAAGAGCAGAGGCATGGGGTATGAAAGGGCATGCCCATGTGGGAGCAAAGGATTGTCTCAGAGCATGTGGGAAGGCACAGAGTGTACAGGGAGGGAGTCAGCATGCCTTGCCAATCTGTTTTGTTGCCTGCTGCTTGGCACTGATGAGTAATTCTACCTGATATCCCTCTAACAAGGCTCATTGAAACGAGCCTTAAGAGATTCCCTCCAGAACCCTTTATAGATACAAATTTTAAAAATCAAGAGAGATTTCTTTCCCTATATGAAAAACGTTTGGTTTGAATGATAGGGCAGGGCTCATTAATACAGATCCAAAAGCAAGCTATGCAGACATCTTGTGCAACATCTAAATTCCAAAGCTGATGATGTCACATATGTGCCCTATAAATATGGAGCACTGTTTCAGATGTATCTGAACAATTTATGTGCACCAGTACCCAGTGCTACCAGAATGGCTGTCTCAGTACTTCGGCTAACAGTTGTCCTGGGACTGCTTGTCTTAATCCTGACCTGCTATGCAGGTAAGTGCTTCTGATCACAGCCCATGAATTGTTCAGTAGTTGGCAGTGACTACAGAAAGTTGGTGGCACTGATTCAGAACATAAAAGGAAGAAGGGGCCTTTGGGCACTGCAGAAAGAGCACTGGCCTGGGAGACAAGAGTTGCACGTCTAACATAAAGAAAGTAGGATTTTAATAAAAACCTAGCCTCTATTTTCAGTGGATGAATGAAGTTCGAAATTTTTTATATAATCTTACGATATAATGACACTATTCTAGTATAAATTCTATAGGAGCTGAGTGGCATTTATATTTTGATAAATATAGCTAATAATGTTCAATGATGAAGAACATGTACTCTGGAATAAAACTCCTAGGCCTGGCTCTACCACTCACAAGAAATGTGACTTTAGAAATGCTATTCAATGTCTCTAGGACTCACATACAAATGGGGATATTCAACTTTCTCATAAAGCTATCATGAAAACTGAATAAAAGGAATGAAACAAATTAGAAGAGTAACTGGTTGATAATAAGCACACAATAAATGTTGCCTACTATTGTTGTCATGTATAATCTCATTTGGTTCTCATAATAATCCAGCCATGTAAACATGCACAGTTTCATCATTTTCCCTTCTACAGGTTAATAAACTCAGCTTGCAGCGGGCAAATTACTTGAGCACACAGACAGGTGGAGGGGGCACCTGGGACTGAAACCTAACTTCCTAGATTCTTTCTGCTATTATTGAGCAATGGCTTATTTCCCATCTTTTCCCAGCACACAGAAGCTCAGGCTGTATGCTGCCTTCTCATTAAATAATTTATTTTTGTCTGCAAAAGACTGTGAGTGCCACTCAGAATGACAGGCCAGAAGGCAGAGAGAGTGCAAATCTTTAGTAACAGAGTCCTATGAATGTAACTTGGCTGAACAACACACAGCAGACATTATAACAGAATTACTCTAGATATGGCCACAGAGATTGTTAAGTCCATTCTACTCCTAAAGCTATCACTATAGTGAAGTGAAAGATGAGAATTGATACCAAAGACCGGTTGCCGCACTGTCTCTCATAAACTCTGAAACTGTTTACATCAGTTCACTGCTTTAAACCTCAGTTTCTTTATCTGTAAAATGGGATAACTATCAACTTCGCCAGGCCAAATGAATTCACTTTTATAATTACTTTGTAAACTATAAAAACTACAAATGTTAGCAATACTGTTTGTTAAGAACATTATATTCACATTCACTAAGAAACTCAACAAGGTAGTTACTGTAAATAAAGGCTTTCTCATAGTATAGTTAAAAAGAAATCAAACTGTTGCCTTTGAAGATTTGTTGCTAGGATATAAATTTCTTGATATTTTAATAATGTTTTAAAAATTTATATGATCTTCTAAAGCACTAGAGGAGAAAGTGAATTATAAACAATTTTGTTGCTCTTAATATTAATAGTAACAATAAAACAGAATATTTATTCATTCATTCATTATTTATTTATTTATATAAGGTAAGTTCACCTTGGGTTTGGTACTGTTATAGATGGTATATATATATCTGTATGTATATATGATGTGTGTGTGTGTGTGTGTGTGTATCTATCTATATGTATGTGTGTGTGTGTGTATATATATATATATAATACCTTTCAATCCTGACAATATATGAGAAAACTGAGAGATAGCAAAGTTAAGGACTGTGTGCAAGGTTACATGGCTAATTTTTTGTTAAAGGCAGGAATCAGACAGGTATATAAAACTCCAGAGCATGTAATCCACCATACTTTAATACCTCTCAATATGTATGGTGTTCACGGGCAAAAGCTGAGATTCTGATTTCCACCCACTCCAATCCCAGGCTTCTTGCATCTTGAAAGGCTGGCATTTAGTGTCATATTAAAATAACAAGTCAATAGAATTTATTTTGCAAGTAGCTAGATAGAAACATGGGAAATAATCTCATCTTTCACGCAAGAAATTACTGCTTCGCGCTTGGTAAATGTCTTTACGAAACAATTGTTTGGAGGCTGTATTATGTAATGTGAATAATATGATTTGTGGAGTTAAGAAAAACATTAGGTTCAAACCGTGAATCAGCTACTTTCTAGATGAGTGATTTCAGGTGAGTCATTTAATTTTCCTGATCATCTGTCTTCTCTCCTATAAAACTGTGATACCACTACTGAGCTGAATGAAGATTAAGGCATGTGCTAAAAGCACTGGTGTATTATCTGCTCAATAGGTACCCTACACAAGACTTCTGCTTCCATCTCCTTCCCACGATAAAAACAAACCAATTCTGAGTACCAGGGTTGCCCAGCACTTTATGTGAAGCTCATATCTATTGTCCTTTTTTACCTTGACTCTTAGCATAACTATGTACATAATAGTAGGCTCGGGCTGGGCACGATGGCTCACAGCTGCAATCCCAGCACTTCGGGAGGCCGACATGGGCAGATCGTTCAAGCCCAGGGGTTTGAGACCAGCCTGGGCAACATCTCTATGCAAAATACAAGAATCAGCCAGCTGTGATGGCATGTGCCTGTAGTCTCTGCTACTCAGGAGGCTGAGGTGGGAGGATCTCTTGAGCCCAGGAGGTTGAAGTTGCAGTGAACTGTAGTCACGTTGCTGCCCTCCAGCCTGGGTGAGAGAGCGAAGCCCTGTCTCAAAAATAAAAAAATTAAAAAGTAGGTTCAAAAATACTTTCTAAATGAAGGAACCAACAATTGGATATATGAATACATGATGATTAGTATATTGATTTTAGTTACAAGTCCCAAATGGTGTTTCTGTCAAATCTTTCGTTATGTCATAGTAAACAATAAATACTTACAGAATTCCCTACCAATCTTTTTACTAATAGTTTCCATTTTAGGATTTAATTTAAATGTAAAGTTTCTGACATAATTTGATAGCCTCCACAAGAAAGGTAGTTACATTTTTTTAAAATCCAAAGTCAGGGGTACATTGTCTAGAAGTTGGGATTTCTTGAGTTAAAACTTGTGGTGAGGTTGCCAGATAAAATACAAGATACCCTGTTAGATTTAGACTTCTGATAAACAATGAATAATCTTTTAACATCAGTGTGCCCTAATTATTGCATGGATTATTCTTATAGTACCAGAAAAGCATTTGTTGTTTATCTGAAATTTAAATTTAACTAGGCATGCTGTATTTTTATTTACCCAGTCTGATAACACTACTTGTCAGGGTACAATAAAATTAATAAATAAAAGTCCCACTTTATCCTGTGACCAGGGCTCAGAGGGGAGACCACATGTAGCTGCTGTCAGTCATCCATCTCTTCTCATCTCCTGAAAATAAAGACAACTAAGCAAAGTCAAAAAGCCTGCAAGGGATCTTGAATGTAATCAACTTCACTCTGGATCCTTGGCCCTCGTTCCAAAGGGCGCTTAAGCGTCTAGTGTAAGAAGCCTGCAGTTATGGTCCCAGCATTTTTCTTACTCTCTGTGAGGTCTTCTGTAAGCCACTCAATCTTCACTTTCTCAGTCCAGTGAGCTAAAAAATGCATACTCTATAAGATAGGTCTGCGGGTAAAATTACACAACATTTGTAAAATTGCTATTTCCAAAACTATTAGGTGATATGAAAGTGATAGAATTTCTTCATCATCATTATTGTTATTCTATTTTGAATCTTCTAAAAGAAGCGCAAACTGCATAACTTTTCTGAATTTCTTTGTCATCATTATTGCTATATTATTTTGAACCTTCTTTAAAAAAAGTGCAAACTGTATAACTTTTTCTTCAAAGACTGTGCAGCTCATCACAGAGTACTTTAGAATCCAAATTTTAATGCCAAAATGACATGGTTTGAATTGTATTTCTGCCACTTACTAACTATGTGACTTCGAAACAGTTTTTAAACATCTCTCAAGTTATATTTCTTTATATTTAAATTGGGATAATTGTTCCTGCCTTGCAGAGTCACTATGAGGATAAAATGAGACAATTCATGTAGATTATCATAGGCATGTACTCAGCAAATGCTACTCATTGATATTTCAGTTTTATTTATTTATTGTATTTCTTAGAGACAGAATCTCACTCTGTCACCCAGAAGCTTGGAGTGCAGTTGAACGATCATGGCTCATTGCAGCTTCTGTCTTCTGGGCTCAAGTGATCCTCCTACCTTCACCTCCCAAGTAGCTGGGCTTACAGGTGTGCACCACCCCACCTGGCTACTTTTTACATTTTTTAGAGATGGAAGACTCATAATGTTACCCAGGCTGGTGTCAAATTCCTGGCCTCAAGCAATCCTCCCATCTCACCCTCCCAAAGGGCTGGGATTACAGGCACGAGCCACCCCACCCAGCTGATAATTCATCTTTAATATTATTATTACCATGAGCATGGAGATCAGATGGAAAAACAGACATTCTGGATGTCAGTTCTGGCACTGGCACTTCCTTGCTGCTTAACTCTGGGATAGGTACTTAGCCTCTGAGCTGTGGTTTTTTTTCACTCACAAGGCAGTGCCAGTGTCTACCTGTTAATCTATTAGTTTGTTTTTAGAAATAAATGAGATAATGTATGTGAAGATTTTAACCAGACAAGCATGAAATGTTTGAACAATATACTCATATAAAGCTATGAAATTCGTAAGTGGGCCACAAAAAATCCTAAGGGTTCCCCATATGGAAAGGAGACTTCCTTCTTTGTTGCTGAGAATCACCTCTGAGATTCCGTTCTGTTTTTCAGATGACAAACCAGACAAGCCAGACGACAAGCCAGACGACTCAGGCAAAGACCCAAAGCCAGACTTCCCCAAATTCCTAAACCTCCTGGGTACAGAGATCATTGAGAATGCAGTCGAGTTCATCCTCCGCTCCATGTCCAGGAGCGCGTAAGCACTGAGACAAACCTTGTTTTTTGTCAAGTTCAATGTTGGTAATGACCACACAATGACCACATGGCATTAAAATACATGAGAAATGAAATCTGTGGCACAAGCGAATGTGTTATTTTTCATTGAAAAATGTTGCCCTACTGAAGATATATTTTGCATCTGAATTAATTGCCCTCAACTTTTTGGGGATAAGCACATTCTCATCAAGTGGTTCCATCAGAATTTTTTTTTTTCTTTTTTTAATCTCAAGACTAAATAGGAAAGAGGAAAAGCACTAAAGAACAAAAAGTCAGGCTCTGATCCTAACTCAGGTGCTGTTTTACTAGGTGGTCTTGAACAAAGCCCTCCCACTCTGAAGGCCTCCGTTTGCTCACATTTTAACTGTAAAGTTAAAATAATAGATGGCCCACCCCATGCAAGCACTGTGATTATGTGATGCCGGTAAGAGGTAATGATACGTTCATTCATGATGGGTGTGATGAGTCCTGCCTATATTTTCCAGCTTGAGTAGCTCAAGAAGGCTAGCAGATACAGTAGACAATCTCTTTAGAGGCAATCTAGAGAACCTCTCAGCATTGGTGTTGGTTTTCATCATGAGGGATTGCCTTAGGATAGATCACCAGTCCCAGAGTCTTCCCAGTGTCCTCAGCCTGCTTCCAAGCCTGTGTCTAATTCCCAATACATCTATTTTTTTTTTCTGCCTGCATAGTTCTGATTTAACACTACTACCTCACTGTATGCTTTATTTCCCCCATATTAATCTCCCCAATTTCAGTGCTTCAGGTTGAAATTCAGTCTTCTGAACTCCCAGGTGCTTTCAATCTCCACCACTCTGAGCCTCTGCTCTCTAATTTTCACCTTTATAGATCCTGAAGCAGAGTTTGACTAGGTGTGGTCTATCCACCTGTTTCAGAATCCCTTGGGGGAATTTATTTTTTAAAATGCAGACTTCTGCATCCCATTTTGCATCTTTCTGGGGACAAGGCCATGGACATGTCTTTCAACAAGCTTTTCAGGTAATTCTGGTATACAGAAATTTTTGAAAGCCATGCCCTTGATCAGATGTTCTGGGCTGCATAGACCAGCTTTAAAGTCCCACAAAGCCTTTACATTTTTATTAATATTTTATGTCAATGTGATTTTTTTTTTTTTTTTTTTTTGCATTTTCCTGGGGAAAGTGCTCATGACTTCTGTTAGATTCTCAAAGGGGTCTTTAACCAATAGCAGATTAAGAACCACTTCCATGTAGGAGAAATTAGGGGTTTTGTAATCTCTGATCTTCTTAAATGGATAGATTGTCATCTGATTGGGCAGGGTCATGCAATCCTGCTCTACAAACTGTTAAAACTCACAGGTGTTCTTTTAATTGTTACATATCCTACTGTGGTTGCTTTTGCAACTGTTGCCTTTCCAAGATTGTTAATTTAAACAGAAAGGAAAGTCAGAAGCCAACAACAGGAGCACCACCCATTAGATACAAACTAAAGATTAGGCTCCAATTGAATGAGTATTGTTATGTTAACACAGCAAAGCAAGGAGTTAGAGCTAATAGTTCTTTTCATTCCTTTCCTCGGGAATTTTCCAAGTATAAAACAGAAATTTTTCCTCTGGGTTCACCATAAAAGTCAACTCTCTGATATGCTAAAGAATTGCTGTCACTCTAGGGCTCAGACAAGGCACTTCATCTACTGTTTCCCTTTCCCTCATTATGTTCTGGGTAAATGGTCTTCTTTCTGTTGCTAGAACGTATTAGCATCTAAGGCTTTCTTCCCTTGCTCTCCCTCCTTCTAAAATACTCTCATTTTCTCATGGTTAATGCTTGGGCCTGCGGCTAATCTGAAAGTCATTTTCAAAGAAAGTGATGCTATGACCATTCTTATTAATACTGTCTTCCTCCACTCCCACTGCCTGTTACTATCACTGTACCTTGTTATATTGTCATTATAATATTTGTTACCATCTGAAGTGACTTATTTATTTTTCATCAGTAGCTAAGTGAAAGTAGAGACCAGATCACCTGTCTGGCTGGTTGCAAGAGCACAGTATCTGGCACATAGCATCAGGCACTTGATAAGGAAAGATCTTGCGGATCAGACCCAAAGCCCATCTACCTCAATTTGACTGAGGAATCCTGAAGGATCTTTGCTCAAAGACACAGCCATGTCTGCTCAAGAGATCGATGTAGCGGGTGGTAGAGTCAGGACCCATGACATACCTATAACTCCCCATTCAAGGGAAGAGCACAAGCAAAATAGGGAGTGGGCGATAGGAGGAGACCACCAGAAAGTATTGCTAAACATTTAATATGTACAAAGTGGGGACACAGACTGTGAAGGAAAAATCAAGACAGTCAATCCCTTCTCCTCAAATTCACTTTATGGTGAAATTACATAAGCCAATGCACAGTGCAGTAACTAAAAATGCCTAGTAAGATGAATGTCAGCCGAATATCACGGGCAGTTTCCAGCGAAAGGAACTGTCAGTGGGGACACTGGGCTTAGGGAAGTGTTTATGGCAAAGGCAAGATGTAATTTGGGTCTTGAATGATCAAACAAGTTTTGATTTGAAAGAGAGAATGAGAGAGGTAATGACGATTCATAAAGGTTGGAATTTTGCTTTATTTATTCCAATATGTCTGATGCCTAAGTGGTATGTCAGATGCAAAATAAATGCTAGAGACATGCTTTTGGGACAGTGAATAGAGCAGATTGTTCTCTCCACTTGCTTTTGGATTATCTTGGAGCTACAGCGACTGTATTTTGCTCATCATTTTTCTGGAAAATATATATATTATTAACTCCTCTCACCCTTTGAGAGCCATTAATTCTTCGGAATATTTTCCCCTCATGGTTCCATGACATATTTCCCTGGTTCTCTCTCTACTGCTAGCCATTCTTTCTCAATCTTTTCGTTTAACTTTTCTTCATGCACCTGCCCTCTGAATGTCATTGTTCCTTAGGATTCCAAATGTGCTTGGTTTTTCACATTGCAGCTTACCCATTGGGAATACTGCCTATAATCTAATGAGTTTCAAATTCACATTTCTGTTGCAATTTGTTCCTGAGCACCAAATGAAATAACTGATAGCTTGCAGTAAATCTCCATCGTTTTCCTCCCAATATTTCAAATTCTACTGGTCTAAACCCAAGTCCATCATGTCACTCAAAACCCTCCTCCATATCTCACTAAGTCACACAATCATCCACAAGAAATCCAGAAACCTAAGGATCTTCTCGAATCTTTGCTGCTCATCATCACCTTCATTGAATCCTGAATATTCTACCCTACATACCTTCCTCAGGTATATGTATATGTACCATATGTACATTTCTCTTCCTCAGCTCCACTGACTAGCTGGTCAAGTTGAGTCCTTCATCATCTCTTTCCCAAGTTATTTTTATTGGATTTTGAATAAGTTCCACTTTTTCTGTCTCACCAATTCATCTTCTACCTACTACCAAAACTTTATATCAAAAAAATGTAAATTTGGTCATATCACTGCCAGGCTTGAAAGTTTTTCATGAATTTCCATTGCCTCCAAAATCCAAGCGAATGCATTAGGCTAATGTCAAAGGTCCTTCTCTGATGCCAATGTATCTTTCAGTCACAATCTTTACCCCTGCAACCTGAAGCCCCAATGACAAATGAGTTTCATCTCAGAGCAGATCATGATTGTATAACCCCCCAATATCTGTTCATGTGATTTTTCCCTCTGCCGAAAATGCCTAGCACTCACCCTGAAACCCCACTCTGTTCACTTGGCAAGTCTAATCATTTTCTAAAGCCCAATTCAAAAACAAACTCAAAAAAAGTCACAGACACTTACCATTAGAAATTTCTGTTTTTCATATTCAGGGATTTCATAATATTTTGCAGAAATCTTCAGAGCAACTTTTATCCCCCACATTGTTTTAAATTACTTGTATCTGAGGTGTCTGTTTTCTCTACTAGACTATGATTCACAAACGATATTTTAGTTATCTTTTACTGTCTCAGCAGATACCCTGCTACCCAGTTCTTGAGCCATAGTGCATAGTGTTTCTAGCATTTAGTAATTACTCTGGAGAGCCAAGTTTTCAACTGTTCTTTGCAATGTACCAGCAATGTGCTTTGGACAGGTTGTTTAATCTTTGAGCTTCAAAGGTTTTCTCACACATAAAAAGAGATAATAAAAATGCATTCAACAAATATTAATTCTACTATTTGCCACGGACTGTTCTAGGCCCTGGGAATATATTATTGAAAAAAAAACAAAAAACAAAAATATATGCCTTTATGGAGTTTGTGTGTGAATAGATACCTAACGAGTGGGTTTATTGGCAGATGCAAAAAGATACTTATGCATAAATTGCTTGTCTACTATAAACTTTTATGGAAATTGTAGGTCTCATTTCTTTCTGACATAGAAAAATCTAGAGAAGAACAGTATGGTTCAAACATAATACAACACCTCAGTGATCATTCTAACACTCCTATTCAGTCTGAATCATAATTCTTATTTTCTCTTTTTTTTTCAAGAGGATTTATGGAATTTGATGATAATCGAGGAAAGCATTCATCAAAGTGACATCCTCAGGTGATTTTTTAACTTAAAATTTACAACTGAAATATCAGTGTATTGGACAAAGGAAAAAGGATCTGTCTAGTTTTATTTAATAATTTTGGTACCCATGTCTGTCTACAAGCAGAAAAGGTACATTTTTAAAAAATTCTTGCTGTCATTTTTAAAAATCAATTTTAAGTGAATGTATTTTTATCATGTAAAAGTTTCTAACAATACAATTTTCTTAAGAGAGGAGGCACAACTGTGAGATGAAGTGAATAAGCATGGCAGGATTGGAAACCTGGTCCCTGTCACAACTGCTAGGAGCTTGCTTTGAACAAGTTCAGCCTGTGAAATGAGGGGCTAGCACACACTAACAATCTAAAGACCCATGTAATCATGCAGCTAGTTGCTCCTGAGAAGAATGAAATTTGCTGAACCTAATTCAAAGAAAAAGGATAACAAACTCTATCTCATGCAGTTGGATTTATGGGCAAACAATATAGTTTAGAGTGCTCAGAAATACTTGCTTTTTCTGTACTCAAGTCTCTCCTGAAAATGAATATTGAACAATAAAAACAGAAGTTTTAGATCTGGAAAAGTAGTAATATCAGTAGCTGGTATGAACTGTATTGTTATTCTGTTTTAAGGCATTAAGCTAAGTGATGAATGCCTAAGTGCTATGTAGTATTTAATTTAATTCATAATCACTATGAAAAATAGATATTATTCTTTTTTTTTTTTTTTTTGAGATGGAGTTTCACTCTTGTTACCCAGGCTGGAGTGCAATGGCTTGATATCGGCTCACTGCAACCTCCGTCTCCTGGGTTCAAGCAATTCTCCTGCCTCAGCCTCCTGAGTAGCTGGGATCACAGGCACGCACCACCATGCCCAGCTAATTTTTGTATTTTTAGTAGAGACGGGGTTTCACCATGTTGACCAGGATGGTCTTGAACTCTTGACCTCGTGATCCACCCATCTCAGCCTCCCAAAGTGCTGGGATTATAGGCGTGAGCCACCTCACCTAGCCTAAATAGATATTATTGTTAAATTTTATAAATAAGGAAATAAGCGCTCAGGAGGTTTGCTAGTATGGCCATATTAATAAAGGAGGAGGACAGAATTTGAACTCAAGTAGCCTGATTCCAGGGTCTGTGCTGTGAAGCCATAGTGCTGCTACTGGAGAACAATGCAGAAAAGTATAGGAGAAGGCAGTGGAGAACAATGACTAAGCTAAGTGATCTAAGGCATGCCTCAAGGAGTTCATAGAAATACAACACTACCCCTTCGCTTAGTTGAGTTACTTTATACGCATATTCAGGAAGCACGGCCTTTACCAACTTCTGTTTGTGATTTGGTCTGGAAATGCTCCTTTTCCCCACTGGCTCCGTTTCATAACCTGGGTGTGATTAGTTTAAGTTCAGGAAGCTACTATCATATTCCCCCAGAACTTAGCCCAGTCTTTTCCATATGCTTCTAAGGATGAGAATCAGGCTTGGGCATGGGAATCAAAACATGCCCAACCCAGACACTACTGACTCTCACCCTAAGGCCAATTAAGCTTCTCAACTCAGTCACTTAAGTTTCTATGTTTTCATTCCCATCTTCTCAGAGAACAGCCTACCTCTTCTTGCAGGTGTCCTAATACTTTGGCTTCATTCAGGCTTCTGGTACACACCTATAATCGTTGGTACCCAGACCCCAAATCCTTGGAGTACATCCTAGAGGTCTGGTCTATGAGGTAGTCCGATAGGCAAGGCCACGTGGAGGAGCAGAAAAAGCAGAAGACATAGACAAGATGTAAGTTCAACTTCAAATCAGCCACTTAATGGTTATGTAACCATGGTCAGGCCTCTTTACCTGCCTGAGCCTCACTTTTATCCTTAAAAATTTTTTAAATGTAGGGAATCTGAATGCCATAAATTTTTTAACTACACATGAAAACCTTGGAATGAATGCATGAACCAAAGTAAGATGCCCTGACAAGCAGGGAGGAATGGCTCAATCTAGGGATGTAAAAACAATTAAACCAGGGAGAAGGCAGCAACTAAAGAGAGGCTAAATGTGGGTTGGGATGCTTTGATCAGTAGTACCTCTTTAAACCCCAGTGAACATGTGTTTAGTAAGTATGATTGTATTTGTGTAATAATTGCCTTATTCAATTAAAAGCAAAAGCAAATCATCACTTTACAATTAAATGATTCACAGCAATGTCTGTTTCTCTAGTTTAGAAAATTTGGCCAAAGATCTCGGCATTTCCTTCTTCTTCTTCTTCTTTTTTTTTTTTTTTTTTTTTTTGAGACAGAGTCTCATTCTGTTCCCTGGGCTGCAGGGCAGTGGCAAGATCTCGGCTCACTTCAGCCTCCTTCTCCCAGGTTCAAGCGATTCTCCTGTCTCAGCCTCCTGAGTAGCTGGGATTACAAGTATGTATTACCACCCCTAGCTAATTTTTGTATTTTTGGTAGAGACAGGTTTCACATGCAGCCCAGGCTGGTGTCAAACTCCTGGCCTAAGTGATCTGCCCATCTCAGCCTCCTAAAGTGCTGGGATTACAGGCATGAGCCACTGTACTGGGCTGGCATTTCCTAAATTAAGCTAGACAGATGGATAGACAGATAGTTTATGTTTATCTTATTAACATTGATCCCCCCCTTTTTTAACACATTTCTTTAATTTTTTTTTAATCCATACCTACCACGTCAATCAGCCAATGCTGCTAAAATGAGTAACTAGCTGGCCATTGAGAAGTCTATGGACTCAGCAATCACGTAGCTCTGTGTATCTCATAACTCTGTAAGGAAATGAAAAAGTTATATATAAAAGGGCCTGGGGAATGCATTGGAAAAGAAGATAAGAAGGAATACCTAGAGGAAGGGATAAGCATTATGAATGCTCTACAAATAAGGTGAACTCTGAGAGAAAAGATTCTACACACAATCTGATATGATGAGGAGAGAGGTACAGTATTTGGGAAAATATCCAGTAATTGAATACCTAGTTAATCTGAGAACTTCTCAACCTTTACTGAATAACATTAGCATGGTTTTTTACTGGGCTTAATATTTTCAATAGACTTAAAATTTCAACTCCACTTGTCCTGCATTGTTTAAAACCACATGAATTCAAGTCATCTATTTTAAATATATTTTTTTCCTGCATAAAAACAAAATTGGATGAACCTCACTAGATTACTAAAATTATCAAAAGAGGTAATAGATAGTCACTTTATGAATTCTTAATTTCTATACATGTTTTGGATGAAGACAAAATCTACTCTAGGATACACTAGACTTTTATTCCTGGACTTGCTCAGTTAAAACTTCCTAGTGAGGGATATAGGAATAAGTAAGTAAGACGGGGAACTCCACTAATGCACCCAATGAGCAAAACTGCCCTTGGCCACAGTGTCACTTGGTAACCCTTTCATGAAGTCTGATGGAAAATTTTTCATTCAGAAATGAATCAAGAAAAAAAAAAATACGTTCCTTAAAGTCAGATTCCTCTTTCTGCTTCTAAGGTTTATGTGACTTGGTCTTTTCTTTTTCATCACCTATCTATCCAGAAACTCAGTGAAACTGGTGACTCAACTTATCCTTAGGGGTTTATTCAATGTACATTCTCCCTCCATCCTTGTTTCTGATTGTCTATATACCTTGAATCTTTCTTTTTGTTGTTGTTGTTGCTTATTTCCTCAACTACGTATTGTAGTTGATTTTATTATGAAACCTTCTTCTATTTTAAAATGCAGAAGCATGAAAATTTTAAGAAAAGGGTTAAGTGTTCTTTGGTTTGTTTAAAGTCTTAAACCCTCTCTACTTGGTAATTGTTTTCCTCTCTTTGGCTTGTGTTTCAAAGGACACACCTATGTGGCTCCTGGACAATCCAAGAGCAGCCAAATCCTGCTTTTCCGGTTCTGCTTCACAAGTCCTCCAGGACGGAGCAACTCCCAGCGAGTTCTCAGGATTCAGGCTCTTGCTTCAACCAAACAAAACTCATTTTGAACACTCCTACTGCATTTTTGCCTCTAGAAAGTTAGAATAAATATGAGCTTTGGGATCACCTAGTTGATGGAGAAGATTTGTGCTGCTATTAGTAATTTCTTCTGGGCATGTTTAAAGTTTCAACGATGCAAAAATATTTATATGCCCTGGTGAATATTTATATATTTGTATGTTCAACAGGATAACCAAAGAATGGTTCAAAATAAGAAGACTAAACCCCAGATAATGTAGCAAGTTCAAATTTACAGAGCCAGTAAGTGACAGAAAGAGAATTAAAACCTGACCTCAAAACAAGCTCTCAACTCCTGAAAATGCAGAGTTAAAAGTTTTACACATCTTTTTTGGAAAGTATTTTAAAACTATCTGAGCCCACTCTCCTGTGCTAGTAAACTTAAAAACTGACCTTCTTTAAAGTAATAAAATCATTGCCTTCCCACTGGAGTCTCTATCAGGCTCATAGAATATCAGCCTCAGAAACAGAAGAGTCCTTGAAATGTTTAGTGCAGCCCTTTCATGCCACCACCTTATAACACACAGGTGGATTCTCTGCAGTTGTGGCTGTGGTTCTTGCCCACTTATCAGAAGTAAAATGTGAGCTAGCAGAGCTGGAAATACAGTAATCTCCCAGAGTTATTTAACGTGGACAGTAAGACAAGGCTGAAATCTTATCATAGAGCAAGATGCCAATTAAAGCACTGCTGTAATCTAGAATAAAGTTTCTATGTGCTTCTTCTACTGAGTTCTCAGAAGCGATCCTTGGTTTTGTCCTTCCCAAACACATAAACTCTGAAAACAACTCAAATGTATTTTTAATAAATCTTTTGTTTGTCTGTCTTCCTGAAGAGGTCTTAGCTAGAAGGGGTCTGCATGCACCACAAAGAATTTTAATAATACAGGTAGATAAATCAAGAGTGTATGCTTATAAAGTGTTGAAAAATGCATGTTACTTTCTACAATAAACTCAGACCATTCACACTATGTATTTTCTATGGATTGTGTCAATTTCAACAATCACATCCCACTTAACTAAATTACCTAAAATGTCTATTATATTCAGTATCTGGCACACAGACTGCTTCTCCCCACCATATGTGGCTGCAAAATCTCTTTTCAGATATTGACTCGCTGATTTGTACCTCAATAACACATTTATAACAACTATATTAATTAATACACTACCTTATGTAAGAAACACACTCTACCAGAACTTTTCTGCCTTTGTCTTCACCTGTCTATTGTATATTTTGAAATCACTTTTTTATGTTGGGGGTTGGGAAAGTGCCATATCAATACTGGATTTGGTAAATTGCTAACAGGTAGCCTATCAAGATCTCCAATGATTTATAAAGATTTTGAAGATTTCCCAACTGCTTTACAATGTGCATTTCCTTTTCCTCCACTTCATTGCCTCCTTTCCCTACCCTCCAGTAAGATCCACGTCTGCAGCCAACAGGTACACCTGTTCTTAAAGATCAAGAATCTCTTTCATCTGAATAGAATTTTTCTTATGCCACCCTTTCACACTCTCATCTCCTTGTAACCTCATACTTGCAAAGTGATTGGAATGATTAGTGAGGCACTGTTTTCTTCATATGACAGGTGAAGGAACTGAGGCTCAGGGAGGCTGATTTGTATCATACATAAGATACCAAAACTGGTAGACGCTACATGGGAGCTCCAAACAGGTGTGTCTGACTCCCAGGAGAGCATTCCCCTGTGACACGCTGAGGACACAATCTACGTCATCACTATTCTGCCCCCAATCCCAAACTTTCTATCGTGACTCAAGTACTTCAGGGAATTGACACCTTGCTTTTTACAGAAATGCTGACTAGATAGAGTAATTCTATTTAAATAAAATTCAAATCATATCAATTCCTTCTGTCATTTTCCATCTCATTGGAAGCAAAATCTACATTTTAAAATTTCTTTACAATGGTAGTAAAAATCCTACCTGAGCTAGTTTACTTCCCATCCCTTCTCCTACTCATTATTTTTCTCTTTTCATTCCAACTATTTTGGGATCCTTATCAGTCTTCAAACAGTACAAGCATGTTCTTTTTATGGGGTCTTAAATTTGCCCTTCCCTGCGCCAAAATTAGTCTTTTCCAAGATGGCCACATGGCTTGCACCTTTATTTTTTAAGGTCTTCTCCTAAATATCACCCTCTCAGTGAAGCCTTCATTGATCACTTTATTTAAAACTGCATCTTCTGCCCTAATATGTCTAACTTCTTTGGCTGCTTAATTTTTCCTTCATCATATTTATCTTTTAACACAATATTAAAACTTGATTTATTTAATTCCTTTTTCTGCCTACCTTTATTAGAATGTAAGCTCCACGAGGCAAGAATTTGACCTCTTTTGTTCAATGTTCCTGGTGCAATAGTGAGCAATTAGAACAGTGTCTAGCAGAGAGCAGCTGTTCTGTAAATGTTTCTTGTATTTTGCAAGAAGTGAAGAAATTTATCTCTTAGAGCTTCTACCCAAGGGCAAGGTAGTGAGGATACAAAGTTGAATACCCCATGATTTTTGCTCTCAAGTAGCTCACAGTCTTGATGTAGAAGATATGAGCGCATAACCCACTAAACATACTCAGCGTGGTGCAGCATAACAAAGGCACAGACATGAGAACATTGGAACCAGCACAAAGAACCACAGATGCTCCCTCAGAAATCTGGAAAGATTTCTCTGATCTGATAATATTTGATCCATGACTTGATGGATGATAAAGGACTTGAAGACATGGACAAGGAGAAGGAAGGGCATTTCAATGACAGAGGAAAGCTTAAACCAAAACTCAGACTGTGGCAATGCTTGACATTCAAAGACAGCCCTACAATCCTTCAAACCTATCTACCTTTCTTAAAAAAAAATATATATATATATATATATATATATATATATATATATATATCTCGTTAGGACACCATCCATGCTTGGTCCTGCATAAATGTTACTTCATTGACTCCTCATATTTAGTACAAATATTACATATGATTATTCCCTTTTGAAACGATGCAATTGAGAATTCTGACAAGATCGCCCAGTTGGATAATGCTGGAGCCAAACTTGAACAAGAGTCTGTGTGACTGATTTGCTTTTGTATTTATTTTGAGAGTGACAGGAATTAACCTTCTTTTTTAAAATTTAATTTTCTTTTGTGTTCTGGGATACATGTGCAGGATGTGCAGGTTTGTTATATAGATAAACGTGTGCCATATTTAATTTTCTTTTGTGTTCTGGGACACAAGGGAGGGTCAATGCAGACAGAGCCATGTGGAAGGGGGGAAGGATTGAAGAGAATATTAAGACATGAGGTTGACAGGACATGGTGTTGAGTTCAATATGACGTGTCAGGGAGAGGGAAGTATCAGGAATGACTTGTAGGAATCTGACTAATACAAGTGGATATGCAGTGTTGCCACTCAGGGATATAGAGAAAATTGGATGCAAAACTTTCCAAGGCTTTCCTGGGCTCTTAAGATAAAAACAGGGCCATGACCATGACACCCAATGCATGATTTGACCTTGGCTTGTATCCCTGTGTTCCTGCTCCCAGGGCTGCAGCCACACAGGTGATGTTTCAGTTCTTTGAAGAAGCCAAGTTCTCTTTATCTTCAGGATAGTCACATACTCAGTACCTTCTACACAGAATATTATTTGGTTATAATGGGTTCTTCACAACCTCAAGTCCCAATTTGGCATGTCCATAGAAATGACCTAAAATAAACAGGGAACCTCTTGTCACTGTTACCTTTCTTAGGATCCGATTCTTTTTTTATTGTTTTCATTATAACTTATAATTATCCATTTACCCATGTTTATTTGTGTGATTTCTATCTCTCCCTTTACACTGTAAAATCTATGGAGATATGGGTCATGACAATTTGTTGATTATCGTATGCTTCCTGTCTAGCAAAGATCCTGCAGTGAATATTCAATCATTATTTGTTGAATCAAAAATATAGAGAGGCAATAATAAATGACTGATAGCTATCACTGTTATTATGGCCATTGTCAGTATCTAATCAGAAACAAGTTCTCATTTGATAATGAGACAGTTAATGACAGAACAAAGAACATACCATTTAACAATGCTTAAAATGAAGTCAATGGTAGTTACTAGAAAGGGGGAGTGTCAGGCAGTTGCCATTTAGTTGTGAATCCCCAGTGAAAAAATTTAATGCAATAGAAGGCGCTTATATTTCTTACTATCTATCTTGCATATATACATTTTCCTTGATTTTGCTAATAATCTATGAGCGCCCTCTGCTGTCTTTAATCTAACTCAATAAACTGAGAGCTCTTCATCTGGTTGCTTCCTTAAATAAAAAAATAATGTAGCAAATAAATTGTATGTACCTGTCTGTTTGTATTGCCTATCTTAGACATGAAACCCAGAAATCACATAATTCATACCTTGCATCTCTTGACACTCCAGCACATAATAAAAAGTGACTTACGGCTAGCTCAGGGAGAACAGTTATACCCTAGGCGTTGTCTTGGATCCTTAATCCCATCTTTGGAAACGGCACTTCTTTGACCTCAGTCACCTGAGATACCAACTGTTCTTTCCAATTGAAATGTGTGACTAGTTATCAAAACTTTAGACATCATATAATTCTGGACCTTGCATTTCCATTTCCAGGATTTTTCTGAAGACATAAAGACAAAAATGTATGCAAATATATGCATGTTCACTACAGCACTTTTTATGATAACAAAAAAGAAAAAATTAGAAGCAATACAATATACATTATATAAATTAATATTCACATAGATAACAATTTAAATAAGACATGTGTCATTCATATATGCAATGTATCATTCATATATGTTTGTAAATATTTAGAAAATGTCATGATAAAAGTGCATCAAAATGTGAACAGCGGTTTCCTCTAATTTGTGGAATTTATGGATGAAGAGAATGAATGTTACATAGATGCATATATGTAACTACAGTTATACATAATTATAGTTGTATATCATTATAGTTATATATAACTTATGTTAATTATATTCTATATAATTATATGTGTAGTATATATTTCTATATTCTGATATCTTTAAA